TAAATGTGATAGCATTAGTTTCATTTATATCAATATTATGATCATCATCGTCACATGGTTTTTCATTAATGTTATTTGGCATCATTTTCAATTGTGGATGTTCTTGATTTTGTGAAATGAATTTCCCATGAAGTGATGTATAAAAAGAGTTATCTCTTGCAGTGTAACCAAGTGCAACATATGAATAAAGCATATGGCTATCAGGTGCTAATGAAGGTACAAAATTAAATATGGAAAGATTAAATTTCATTGCGACGGTCCCTTGATGCTTACACAGTGCACCAGATATACCAACAAGACAGGTGCACATTCTAATTTCACTATTCACAATATAAAAAAGGCTAGTGTTTTTTGTGCTAGGTACTAAAAATTCATTTAGACTTATTCTTTGAATAAAACCAGCATCGACAGTATTTCACCCTGGGCAAAGAAATCGCTTTGCAATTCATAAATGTCCAGAGTAACCGTGTGAAAAGTTAAGTAACCGTCTCTCGTAACATCTTTCCATATTCATAGTCAAAAATCAGAATACTTGTACTATGTTATATGCCTGTGTTCTCGCGAACACAATATCTTTCAATACACCAAAAGCTCGCTCAACGTAATTGTTAGTGTAGTTTTCGCGTACTGGTAGTGTTAACCGAAAAGACAGCACCCAAAACTGACGCCGCTTCCACAAAATATCAAAGTGTCTTTGCAACAAAGGATATAAATGATAAAAATTTTGCTTGAACTCACTATAATGTAAATTCATTTCAGAAACGGATGATGTATAAAGAATTGTTTTTATTTTTTGCATTATTAATATACGGTCTTGCTTATTAATTTGATGTTTTGCATCATACAGCCAACGCCAGAAGGCTTGTAAAATATGGAATATACATAAAAGACGAATATCTTGAGGCCAGCAAAGTTCTAGAGGATTACGCTCGGCTCTTGAATCATCTGTAAGGAAAATGCTTGGTCCAATTTGAGGTCTCCGCCCAAAAAATGCATAAGATGGAAGAATTGATTTTAATAAATCCATTGACTTCTTTAATGTAGCTTCAGTTTCATCAGACGTTACAGTTAGTCCTAACGGAAGTGCACCGGCCGTACAGCTAGTATAAAAAATCGTGATTGAATTATTTAGAGGTTCAAATGATGACGACGCATCAACATAACACAATTCGCCCGCTTGTGTGATTTTTTCATGAACACGCAACATCAAGCTTGTTACAATACAAAGTATGAATGCTTTTCCACTACATTCATTATATTCTTGTAGTACTGCTCTGCCTTTACCAGAATTATTATAGTCGTTAACAAGTTATGCTAAACGTTCAAACATTAATTTTCTATTACGATCGCCTAAAGTATTACTACGATATTGTTGAAAAAGTTTTAAAACATAATCATAATCGGGGTTGTAAGCTTAGTCGGCAAGTGTTTCTAATAACTTCTGATCATTTGTAATATTCAAATGAAGCTCATTCTTATAAGCGTGCAGTACAGATGCAGGAGAATATCCGTCTTTAAGCAATTCCAGATATTTTTCACATACTTCATCCTTTACACAGTGAAAACTCAATGATGCTGCTGAATTAATCACATAGTTATGAGTAAATTTTATATTTATTTCAAACGGATAATCGAGTTCAAGGCGCCAACGTTCTAATCGAATGTGGATTGTTGCAGTGCAATTTATATTTTGAGTTCGAGATGAACCTGGGCGTTTTATTTCTCGATTTCCTTGTTTGTCTTTTACTTTATTACTGTGTATACAGTGGCGGAGTTCTTGAAAAAGCACCTGTTTTTCTTTAATTTAATAACGCTTAGTTTCAAGCATTGTGATCTTTGACCATGACTCAAATTCTATAAACTATTGAGACACCTTTTCTTTATTGTCAATATTTACAAATGCATCCAATTCAAATTGTAGAATTATAAATTTTTCAGCAGTTTGAAATGGCGAAAATACATTGAAGTTTTTAATTAAGTATGAATAATTTTTAGGAAGTACAGGCTTTAATAACTCAGGTAAGGAATGCCAATTAAATGCTTAGAAAGTTGATTCACTTTTATTCTCTTTTTTTTTATCCAGGTTTTCGACTAGATTATTTTCTAAGTTTTCATTTAGGTTACTATTGAAGTCATCATTCAAATCACTTTTTAGATCATTTTTCAGGTTATTCATCGGATCATCTGTCATGTCATTTTTTATATCCTTATTCTGACTATTGTCTAAATCATTATTCATGTCATTTTTCAGGTCCTTATACAGGATATTGTCCAGGTCATTGTTCAAGTTCTTATTCAAGGTATTGTTTAGGTTGTTGTTCACTGTATTATCCAGGTCTTTATTCCGAATATTATCCAAATTGTTGTTCACGTCATTTTTCAGGTCCTTATATAGGATATTGTCCAGGTCATTTTTCAAGTCCTTATTCAGAGTATTGTTCAGGTTGTTATTCAGTATATTATCTAGGTCTTTATTCCGACTATTGTCCAAATCATTGTTTACGTCATTTTTCAGACCCTGATACAAGATATTGTTCAGGTCACTATTGATCCTTCTTTTATTTTCTTTATT